AGCATGCTCATCTTTTTCATCATCTTTGAATAGGAAAGAAAGAATTTCAATTAGTAATTTAAAAGAACCCAAGTTAAGCATTAAAATCTTCTTGGCTTTATGCTAAAATCATCACTCTCATCAATAATCTTTCTTTCAAAGTTTGCCAGTAAAGCCAGAAATAAGCTTTCAGAATTCTGATTTTAAACTACAGGTGAAAATAACCAATTTATTTTCAATTGAGATAATACAAAATTCACAAAGTGACCCTTTAGTGCTACATTAAGGTAGCTTAAAAGATGTGATTCTATTTCAAGAAAAATCAGATTTGTTCTGAAAAAGCTGCTCCCAAATATTCTACCGTATACACATTATGTATATTTAGATACTCTTTGTAAGAATACAGCATATTGTTTTCTTTTTACAAAAAATAGATGTTTAACCATGACATTATTTAAGTGGCTATCAGCTATCCTTTTCCTTTCAATCTGCTTTTTCTCCTCCAAAAACTCTCCCTAACTCATTTCCCCCCGCCCCCACAAATCTTTATATTTTGAAGTTAAAAAGCATTCACAAGTAGAGGTTTCACTGAATCTCTATGTTCAATTTTGACCTGTGTAGTTAGTTCTAATTTCCCCCCTGTTTCTGGGAGGATCAAACCATTCTATTGACAACAAGAAAAACACATATCTTTCTCCCCCTTCACATTATAGAGAATTTGGAGGGGAAGGGAGGCTAGAAAAGAACTTTACATTAAAACAATGTCCTTTACACTTTCCTAAAATCTTTTTTTTCTTTCCCTTTTTTTGTCTTTTTTCGTGACCGGCAACGGATCGCAACCCTCGGTGTTGCGCCCGCACCTCGCTCAGCCAGTGAGCGGCCTGTCTGTATGTGGGATCCGAACCCTTGGCGGGAGCGCCGCCACGCTCCCAAGCGGCGCACTGTAGCAGTGTGCCACCAGGCCGGCCCAACTTTCCTAAAATCTTTTTTTTTTTTCCCTTTTTTTGTCTTTTTTCGTGACCGGCAACGGATCGCAACCCTCGGTGTTGCGCCCGCACCTCGCTCAGCCAGTGAGCGGCCTGTCTGTATGTGGGATCCGAACCCTT